TAAATTTAGGTACTCCGAGACTGACATATAAGACCCGCAATTTTGACATTTGAGTCGTAACAGACGTGAAATTCAACTCAATTAAACGTACATTTCGTCGAATAACGACCTTTTCAGTCTCGGAGCAATTAATTTTACATGAAATATTTGTTTACATCTGATCCTTAATGGATTCCGTCACGTGTAAAATTAGTTATTTCTAAGTGTGCACTTGCTAACCAAACCAGGAGTCCGTAAATCAAATAAGTGCGTAAAAAAGTAAGAGGTTGTATCCAAGACAAAAGGTAGTCAATCCTGGACGATATGTCTTGGATACAAGCTCATGTTATAGTTCTCTATGACACAGCCGATTTAGATTTCTATATCATAGTTCTTTGAGATTTGGGAAACCATTTTCAAAAAAATATGAACTTCAACGTAATAGTAGCTATGTAGTAGAAAACTATTATGTAGTGCTATAAAATAGAATTTTCGAGTGTACACACGATTGAATTTTTTGCGTATTTTTTTTTCGTTTAATGAACCGGTGCACATCATAAAAAAATAATTGCAGGAAAGCTAAAATATATGGGATTAAAGTTAATTGAGGACAAACTCTTATTGTATGGTGATTTGAAGAGATAACATCCTGGCATTGCTGAGATTTGTTATTGTCGTTGACAGACTTTCGTGCGATATTTTCAAAGTTGATCCTCAATTGATTGATAGACATGATCCTCAAAAAATCCTTCGCCAAAATCTCGTTCATTTTTCGTCAATGACAAAGATTCACCTGGTAACCAGTAGTGAGGTGAACTGACAGTGAAGTGATAGTGAAGTGACAATTTTTACCTCGGATGAGGTGAGTCTCCGTGCAAATCAAATGGAGAGTCACCTCACCCGAGCTGACAATTTTCACCTAACCGGTGACAGCGTGTCACTCCATCTCACACGCCGCGCAGAATAGGCCTACTAGGATCAGTTTCACGAATTGACCACTTTTACGGATGTTCTGGATCTTCCACAGGACCAGTCTTGTGACTTAACGGAAACTGACTCTTCCCAAAAGGTGGCCAACTATCTGCTTAATAATTTAATCAAAGACATCAGAAAGTTATCTCTACAAATTGCCTAATAAATTCGAAGCTGTGACCGGACCCTGGAGACCACGCGATGGTCCACTGGAACATCCGTAAAAGTGGTAAATTCATGCTACTGATCCTCAACATCCACGGTTTTTTCGAAACCTCTCATAGAAGTCTTATCATAATATGAACTTATGACCGGAATTTAGTCACTGGAAATCACGAGGTGGTCCACTATATCATCCGAAACATCCGTAAAAGTGGTCAATTTATGAAACTGATCTTAGAGCTCCGCGTTTTTTTTTTGTTCAAAACCACTTATAGACGTCTTATCAGAATTAATTCAAAGTTGTGACCAGAATATAGACACTGGTGACCACAGGATGGTTCACCGGAAAATTTGGAACATCCTTAAAAGTGGTCAATTCATTAAACTTATCCTTGAATTCTACGTTGAATTCTATCTTTTTAATATGAATTCGGAGTTTTCATCGGAAAATTGACTCTTGGGTTCACGAAACACAAAAACACTAATTGGCATCTTATCAGAATCAATTTGGAGATATGACCAGAAATTTTACCCTGGGGACCAGTGCACAAAGGTCCCCAAGCCGTATTTAGGAAGACAAACATATTTGCGCCCAAACCATCAGTTTTAGGTATATAGTGTCTTATTGATAGTTTATTCGTATTTTTTGGCCAATCTTTTTATGTTAGTGAACTTAGGGTGGTCCATAAAATTGGTGAATTGAAAATACATTTTTATTTTATATTTGAGATTGACCAATGTAGTGTTCTAAAAATCAGTAGAACAATCAATTGCATAAGACATCAAATTTCTATCTCTTATGGTCCATTACTTATGATTATTTTAAGCAAGCAGGTTAGGGTGGCCCCTAGAAAATCAGTTTTCTTTAAATATAATTTTATAAGTTCATTTCGCGTAGAAACTTTGTTTAAGAACTTTTTATGACGCATATTTTTGCTCAAGCAACTTAGTTGATATCTATTTAATCTGAAAAATTATGGCTTGATATTGGTAAAAAAATTTACCTTTTTTTTAAATTAATCGCTCTCACTGTTTTCTCACCAAAAATGAATGAAAACACGATCTTTCAAAAGAAATCAAAAATTTGAAAATCGGTTTGCTCCTTTTAGATTTATTGACAATAATAAAAAAAGAAATCGAAGAATATCTCCATGAACTTTCTAATAAAAAAAGATAGCAACATGGTTGCGTCACCAATATGCGCCATCATAAGTTCTAAATGTGTCCAAAACAACGTTTTTACGAGAAATGAACGTGTGAAAAGTTATTCAACTAAATGTGTTTTTAGAGGCCACCCTAACCAGTTTGTTTAAAAAAAAATTAACTCATGAACCATAAGAGATATAAATTTGGTGCCTTAAAAAAATGCTTTGAATTGATTGCTCTACAACGTTTTAGAACATTGGATTGGTCCATCTCAAATAATAAAAAAAAGTTTGTATATCCAATTCACTAATTTTGTCGACCACCCTAATTTCACTAACATAAAAATAACTTTCCCCAAGACACTGTATACCAAAACTTACGGTTTGGGCGCAAACATTTTTGTCTTCCTAAATTCGGCTTTGGAACTTGTGCAGTGGAAAGATCCGAAACATCCGTAAAAGGGAAGTAAAGCCGTAGGTCCCAGGTTCATGAGTTGATGGGTCGAAAGGTAGGGTCCTGGTGTGGGAGCTGCCTCCCTGGCGTCTTATGAGTGGTTTCTAAAAAACCGTGGAGCTCTACGATCAGTTTCATGAATTGAGCACTTTTCCGGATGTTCCGGATCTTCCGGTGGGCCATCCCCTAGTCTCCAGAGTCCATATTCTGAACACAACTCCAAATTCATTTTGATGAGACGTCTATGAGTGGTTTCTTATTTAAACAAAAACAAAAACACCGCGCACATACTGCTGTCAAAAAACTATGACCAATAACCTATGAACTATTCCGGCTTGATGGAATAGTTTATAGCTTGCAACTATGATATAGAAACTATCGCTAGAGTGTTCACACGATTATGAATTCGGCTCTATGTCATAGCTCTAAACTATAACTTGCAAGTCATAACTATGAGCTATCACGTCATAGTTTAGGTGTTCCTATGGGCTATAATATAGTTTTCTACCACATAGCTCGCTATATACTAGAAATAGCCTCCGTGTGGCGGCACTTTTACTTGAATTCTTGACTTGACTTTGTAGTCCTGAGAAGGACAGATGGGTTAAAAGCTTGGAAGTCAGTTTAGAACAATGCTGTGACGTTATTTTTTATATATCTCTATTAAGGAGACTTTCAGCCCTGGGCTGGTTCGTCTGCGGACAAGGGGGTATCCCAAAGGGAGAGAAGGTACAGAGTTTTTATTTCACGAAGTTGAATGATGGTTGCGGTTCCAGAGGGGAACTTATTTTGCCTAAATGTTCTATGTTGCTGTCATCTGTTGTGTTTTCTGTTTTGTTTTGAGGACCCCAGCAGAGCCCCACCGGTAGAAGCTGCCTGTGCCACTGCTACCGAGTCGTTCTGAAGGGCGTCTCGGATGTTGCCCGGGATCCCGTAGAGTTCTCGTGGTCCGTGGAAGCAAGGGCAGTTTATTAGTATGTGCTCGACAGTCATTGTTGTTCTGCAGGTGTCGCATCTTCTGTGAAGTTATTTCCTCGATGTTCTTGGAGATGATAGCGGTGCTCACGCGTTGCACCTGGATCGATTGGTAATCATTTTGGTGAAGGGCAATGGCATAGTATTCCTCAATTGATGAAGATTCTTGGCGAATTAATACGTTACAAAGAATGTACATCTATGTTTCAAAGAGATATAGTCAAATGTTCTACCTTGTCTTAAAGACCCTGCTCCTGCATCCCATCCAGTAGATGTAGAGCAATGTTGTCTCTAGCCGTTCTGATCCTGTCTCGGTAACATCGATTTCTTTCAGCATCAGTTTTCGGCTGCTTCTTCGATATGATGTATTTCATACGAAACTTCTTGACCGACCGGTCATTCCGTGTATTGGTGGGGAACACGTGGTCGAAAAGTTTCAGCGAGGAGACCGGAGTCCCTCAAGGCCCCGTTATCGCAGTCACGTTGTTTCTGGTGGCAATGAACGGGGTATTTGACCGGCTACCTGGGTGGATTTACATATTTGTTTACGCTGACGATGTGCTGATTGTGGCCACCGGTCCTACACAGATCCGAACCCTACGGCAAGCGCAAGCGGCAGTCTCTGCCGTCGTCAAATGGACCGACTCGATGGGTTTCCAGCTGTCCGCCAGGAAGAACATCCGATGCCACATATGTCCGTTTCAGCACCGAGTCAACAGCACTCCAATTACGATCCACGACCAAGCCATTCCAAACAGGAAAACAGTTCGCGTCCTCGGCGTACTGATCGACCGAACGCTCTCCTTCGACCAGTATTTCCAACAGGTCAAAAAGGACTGCCGCAGTAGACTCAACCTCGTTAAAACGATCTCTCGGCCTCACCGATCCAACAACCGCGATGTTCGGTTCCGGGTGGCGCGAGCCATCATCGACAGTAGGTTGCTTTACGGGACGGAAATTACTTGCATCGCTTCCGAGAAGCTGGTAAGAACCCTAGCACCAGTCTACAACAGCTACATCCGCATCATATCTGGTCTTCTGCCATCCACTCCAGCAGACGCCGCATGCATCGAAGCGGGTCTTCTTCCTTTCTGGTTCTGCTTAAACGCAAATATTGCCACAAAAGCCGTCGCCTTTTCCGCCAAAACCTCCGGAAACAATAGGATCTTTCTCCTCGACGAGGGGAACAGAGTCCTCCGCACGGCCGCCGACATCAACCTCCCCCAAGTGGCCAAAGTCCATTGGCATGGAGAAAAAAGTTGGTACTCTTCACGAATCCAATTGGACAATCGGATCAAGAACCGCTTCAAAGCATGATTTTGCGCAGATCGGTCGCCGAGTTACTTGGGTCCAACTATGCCGACCACGTACATCGGTACACCGACGGCTCCCGATCGATAAACAGAGAAGGTATCGGGATTTTTGGAGACGGTATCGCTGAAAGCAGCAGTCTTCCTCCACAATGCTCGGTTTTCTCGGCCGAGGCTGTAGCAATCTTCCGTGCCGCTACGACGCCAGCCAACAAACCGATACTTATATTAACCGACTCACACAGCGTCGTTCAAGCGATCACCTCGGAAGCACCAAAACACCCATGGATCCAGGCGATTATCAAGTACGCCCCACCGAACACCGTGTACACATGGATTCCCGGACACTGCGGAGTGCCAGGTAACGAGTCTGCTGATCACCTTGCCGGAGCCGGGACATCGGCTCCCAGACTCACCAACAAGGTACCCCTACAGGACGTCAGACGGTGAGTCATGCAGACCATTCGAGCAGCATGGGAAACCGAGTGGTTCCGCAACAGAACTGCCTTCATCCGCAAAGTCAAAGGGTCAACTGAACCATGGAGCGTACTGGACAACCTTGATTTCGCGGCTTCGAACCGGGCACACCAAACTCTACTGTCTACTATAGCTATGGTGGCCTGCCGTTCCGCAGAAGCTGCATCATCTGTGGGGTACCCTATACCGTTGAACACATCCTGTGCAACTGCCCGGAGTTCCAAAATCTTCGGGAGTCACTCTGCTTAACTTCCAGCATCAGCGATCTGCTCGGGAATGATACTTCCGCCTCGGCAGCACTAGTAACCTTCTTAAAAGAAGCCAAAATCTACCACATGGTATAGCAGGAATTTTTTTCGGCCGTCGGGACATCTCAGCTGGATGGATTTCCCCTATTGGACCCATGCCAGCTGAGCTCTGTTTTGTTTGGATTAATCGTTTGTGGCTTGTCTTAAATCATTTTGTTTTCTGTTTCATTATTTTATATATTGTTATTTTTTCCATATAAGTTGAAGAGCCAGCAACCAAAGTTATTTACAAAATGATAATATACCATTATTTAGAGGTTACTCACTCTGAGTCCTCTCATTTCTCCGGAGATGAACTAGCCATAGGCTAAAAATCTCCTTAATAAAGAACTAAAAAAAAAAGGCTGCTTTTTCGGAGGTCTGGATCAAAATCACACCACTTTCATCACGCAACCGATTTTGGTTATTGAAATTGCACCCCCAATGTTGCCTTTAAAAAATACATGGTATGTTAGATTTAAACATATGGGAACTGACATCCGATTGATGACCTAGACAAATGTCCAGAAAATACTCCTTAACAAATTTATGGTGGTCGTGAAAAATACCGTTTTGTCGTGATGGTTGAGTAATGCTGAGCTATTAGGGTGTCCAACAAAGATGAGTCTGGTGAGCTATATGTTGTTTGGAGCGATGGTGACGCGCTTGTCATAGATGGCCCACAGCGACTAACAAAGAGCTACTGAATCCGATCAGTAGCGGTACGGCTTCTTCCTCCTTCTTCGGTGAATGAACGCTCATGTGGGCTGTAGCTCGCATCTTGCGGGCAGCCTTTCGTCGAATACTGGAGAACAATCGACAACGCCACGCGCCGAAAGCACTGCTGGTGCTGCTGCTGCTAATGACGACCGACCGGACACCACCACACACAGTGATTAAAAAGCACCGTTCAGTGAGATAGGATGGAATTCGATTTTGAAATCTGTGTTAGGGAAAGTGGTTTTTAAGACAATCGGTGATAATTTTGATCACCATTGTAGCAGTTGGACATATGTGTAATTTACAATAGTGACCTTTTAAAAATTAATAAAGTGTTCATTTTTGCAGATTCGTAAAAAAAAATTCCAATCGATTGGCTTATGTAGAATTAATATTCATCCGCTATTGGCAGAGTTATAAGTAGTTAAAACCTGACCACTTGTCGTAACGTGGTTGGTTTTGTTTTTTTGAAATTGCACCCCCAATATGTTGCTGAAAGACGTAATCCTACGTCAAAAAATCTCGTTATTTGGGATTTACTTCGTAAAATGAGGTTTTTGAAAATATTGTCAAATACCCCACAATATTGGTATTTTTGGAATCAGGGGACATGTTAGAACCGGAAATCCATGTCTGAAGCCATTTTGAAATCAAAGATGTGTGTGGCTATAATAAAAAAAATAAAGGTCTGAATTTCAGGCATTTTGGAAAACCTAATATGCCGAATCAACTGATATTATGGGGCTTCACGAAGGTTCAACCATTCTATCATTAAGTCGAATCTTTGTATATACAAAGATTATATATATCTTGTTGAGTCTGCAGAACTTCAAGATCATATATCCGGGATGATTTGGATAATCCAACAATGTTATGTTTAAGAACAATTAATAATTTTGAATGAGATTATGAGTCTCCGTGAAGTACAAAATGCTGAAGTAATGAAATTGGATTGTTAGCGGAAAGCTTAAATAAAACAGCAAAAAAGGGGTTACCGTCCATTTAATACCACTTAAATAATTTTGGTATCCATGACAGATACGTGTTTTGACTACAATGTGCAGTCTTCATCAGTGTCATTCCCACTAAAGACTTATCAAAAACCTAACTCTCTTGAATACTTATCCCCTAGGTAAAAATGGTAAGATCACAGGTATAAAAATGAAACTACAATGTGTAGAATCGGAACCTGCATAACTTATAATAACCAAAGGTATTTCGTAAAGTAAAGGAGAAAAATCTATTCAAATCTAAACACTGATAAAGACTGCACATTGTAGTCGAAATACGTATCTGTCATGGATACCAAAATTATTTATGTGGAATTTAATGGAAGAAAACCCATTTTTTGCTGTTTTACAAAATGCTCAAAAATTCTGAGTGGACATCGAACAAGATTTCGATTAATCTGTAAAAAATTGCCATGACAATTTGGAGAATCATAAATAATATGGTAACATAACTTTGTATTCCACAAAATGTCATTTGCTTATAGCACTTCAAGATCTAATCTCCAGAAAGCTTTGAAAAACTTTCGTTTCTCCTGTTTAGGCCTCTTGTATTGATAAATGCTTTTTTCGACATACCAAAACAAAATTTAGGCCCATTTTGTACAGTGAAACTCTTTGATTTTATACGAATTCATGATGCTATGAGATTTTGGAGATCTACATTATCAACATGTTAATGCAAATCTCATCTCATTGTTGTTTGCCATGGCTCTACCTCTCACTGCGTGACAAAAAGTTCTGTCAGCGATAGTCGGTTGCTGCGTTCACGAGTGCCGAATGAATGTCGTGATATTTTGCATCACTGATCAGAATTGCTCTACGTCTTTATAGAAAACTTTATACTTTATAGAAAAAAATAAAGTAGACGTATTTTAGAGCAATTCTGATCAGTGATGAAAAATATCATGACATTCATTCGACACTCGTGAACGCATCAACCGACTATCGCTGACAGAACTTTTTGTCAAGCAGTGAGAGGTAGAGCCATGGCGAACAAAAATCACCAGTAATGGTCGGTGCTCACAGACAAAACGTAACACTTACTGCTGATGATGTAAAGCACAGCAAAAACAGTGAAGACTTCTGCAGTACGATGATGAGAAAAAGCAAAACGACAGAAGAAAATGAAAACAATGCCTACGCATTCCAAGTTCGTCTCGGCACACGCGACTATGTGAGCTACAAACAAAGCTGGCAAAATTAAACAGAATCTGTTCAGCTCACTCACTAACACACTCACATAAGCAAGCAAAGCAGCAACTGCTTTAAAACGAGCACATATGAGTGTCGTGATTGTCGGGAATGACCAGATCGGTGATGGATCACAACCGAAGACGACATTCACCAGTTGTTTTTTTTTTTTCTTCTTTCTTCAACTTGATGGATGGTCATGGAGAGTGCTTCGACAAGCACATTGATAGGAATGTATTAGGCGTTACTACCATCAGCTGTTTGACGATCGTGATTGTGATAGGTCGCAACTCTGATTCTGATCAAAAAATGGTATGATTATCTCCAAACGGCTATTTTTGAACGCCCTTTTTTGATTAAGGTAGGGGTGATGTTTGAGTTGGGTTTGTAATTACATAACGGGAAAAAACCGGGTATTGCAAAATTGGACTTGAATGGACACCCTGTGTACTACTACTAATAGCAATCAATCGACGAACGATCTTCTCCTGAACTGGTACTGTGTAGACTTTCTCCATTCGTTAACCCTAGATTCGACCTTTGCTCGGCCTTTCATACAGACTTCTGCACTCATATTCACTCTCTCGTCTTCTTTCGCTCTTTGGATCATCTTCGGTTGATAAATAGCATTGTGATATGACCAGTACGATTGTTTCTGTTGTACGGAAAGTGGCCGTAAGAAACAAAAACGGTCCTCACACTATTGTCCACTCAATTGCACATCTACTGGCCGGTTATAATAAGTAGACGAGTAATGTTGATACGTTCTGGGTAGTCCAGTATCGCTCACATATGGACTTGGTAGAAGGTTTTCGTCTTCTGTAAAGTTGTTCAGATGGACAAAACAGTTCAGAATTAACTAAGCAGATGGCACTAGTGTGACATTCATTTTGAATTATTTTCAGCCTTAACTTAGCATCTTGACTAGATAGAAGTATTTAGATGGACAAGATGAGATGGTGAAGAGTCCTCCATAGTAATTTCCATATAAACTTCAAACGATTTGTGCCAAGTCAGTTTCTTAATAAATGAGTTAAAATTTTGGGAGGCTAATCAGGACCCAATTTGGAACCGCTTGAGGCACCGTGGAGTCAAGTTTTGTTGCTAACGACATTGTATTTAGTCGTGGCTTATCTACCAGATCATTCAACCTAGACTTCAGACCGATTTAGAGTACCTAGAACATTTGACTAAATGAGTTTATTTGCATGGGCTCCAGAAATTTGTTTGCACACGTTTCTTTACAACTAGCATTGTATCGTGGTAGTGTTCGTGGTTGATATAGTAGATCATTTGATATAAACTTCAGTACGATTTTGAGAAGCTAGAAAAACTTAATGATGGTGACGACTGGGGCTTGAGGTGAATTGCTTTATTTAACGGCTTTTTCAGTCTTAAATACTTTATCGACTACGATGTATTCTGTCTGACGTTTCGGCCTTTTTCAAGGGAGAATCTGTATTGTACATAGTTTATAAGTTGTTTTGATTTGTAGGAGTTGTGGTTGATTTGAAATATTTTGGCTTCTTAAATTGGTGATTGTAAATTTTAGGTGTGTTGGGATTCATTTTAACTTACAATAAATTATATTTGTAGATAAAAAACAACAACTGTGGCAACTTTTACACAACCTCTAAACAAGCAAATATGGTGAACCTAGGCAGCTCAGATTAAACAGCTCGTATTCCCATATTTGTAAGCGCTTCTACCCAGCTGATTTTCAGCTGTTTTAGCTGGATATGAAATTGAAAGGCGCTTATTTAAC